GCTAACTCTGTTAGCAAATATGCTCTCATCAGTTTACCACATTAAGACCTTGCTCAAGCAAAGAAGAAGCTGATTCTAACTATTCTCACACCTAAAATTTAAAGGACAGGTTCTTTTGCATTTTCTTTGCAAATTACGGCAGGACTGCACTAATTGCTGTAAATGTGTCTGTGCATCCTGTAGGTGGGTAGCTGGGCCGTGGTCTGAGTGCTCTGCATCCTGTGGCAGTGGATTTCGGCACCGACAGCTGTCCTGCCACCAGGCCATGGCCAATGGCAGCACCCTGGCCCTGCTGCCAGGAGCCTGCACAGCCAGGGACAGGCCTGCAGCAAGGAAACCCTGCCTGGGGCAGCCCTGTCCCCTGGGGCCAGCACAGGCCACCACACAGGTAAGTGACAGCGTTTGTCTGCAGCATCCTTGTATTATGGAAGTGGGACAGTGCCATGAACTGGCTGAACATCTGTCCTCTTGTGCCTGAACATCTCCTCTTACACAAGGCAGGAGCTCTGTGGCTGGAATTACCTTTCAGACCAGACAATTAGAAATCTTGGGTTTTTTTCATTTTATGCTCTCTGAGCAACATTTTGTTTGTTGAAGGCATGACTTGAAACCAGAGTAGTAGCTGCAGTGTATTTTATAAGCTAAGCCATTACGATGTATTCCATTTTCCAAGCTAGTTTATTGCTTTTATTGCAGTCATGTTAGTACACGGTTTGCCTACCTGTACTTGTGAAGTCCCCAAAAAAGATACATGAATGTGCTTCAACAGAACATTGAAGAAGTTGTTCAATTCACAGAATACACAGAAGTCTGTTTTCCTACATTTTCTGTTTCTTCCTTCATGCAGCAAACTTGTGTTCATCTTGATAAGATTTCTATTTACTGTTCAAAGTGCAAAGTAATTAATTAGAATTGCTGTTGCTGCATTCCCAATACAAGGCAAGTTTGTAATGGGCAGAGCTACAGAAAGAATTCTGCAGCAGTAGGGATGTGGCACGATGAGAGGAGACAATGGATGTAGCTTTAGGAACAGGCAGGAAAGTCAGAAGGCAAGATGCAAAAATCATGGCTGGGCTGTGTAGCTGGGTAACTCCAGGAGGATAATTCTGTTGTTACTAACTTGGCTGTTGCTTTTTCTCTCCCCTCACCCTTTTCTCTCAATTGTCAGTGCTCTGGCCGCTGTGTTGGCCGTCCTGCAGGTTCACAGCACCCTGAGTTTATATGTCAGCTCCAGAACGGGTCTTCAGTGCCAAACTCTTCTTGTGATGAAAGAAAGAGGTAAACAGTGGGAAGAAACTACAAGTTAGATTCTTTAGATTATCAAATTGAAGGTACAGGATTGTCACAGCAGTACAAGTAGGCTAATTGTTTTGTGTCAAAGAAGAGGAGGTAGAGAGTCATCCCTTTGTGGACACTGGATGAATTCAGGAACCCAAGAGGGGTTGCCTGAAGAAAACACGGCATCCAGTATGAAGTGTTTCAGGGTCAGTTAAGTTTTCTTGAAGAAAAAATACCTTTTCTATTCCAGGGTAAGAAACTAGTTTAAAGAAACTCATGTCTTCTCATGAGTGAGAAGGTGTGATGAGTGAGCACAAAATTAAATAAAGGGAATTCAACTTAAATATAAGAAAAAATGGAACAGATTACCCAGAAAGTTGTGGTGTCTCCATCTTTGGAGATATTCAAACCACAGAAAATCTTGAGGATCCTGGTCTAGGTTGGCTGTGCTGTGATCAGGGGAGTGGGGGCTGATCAGTTCTATTGTTGTGTGAATAAGGGTTTAGCACAAAAGCAAACATTTCACTGCCATTTCTTTCCCTGCACAGCCCTCCTGCCAGAAGGAACTGTTCTCCAGAGGGGTGTGATGTGTACTGGAGGCCAGGCCCCTGGAGGCCCTGCAGTGTGGGCTGTGGGACTGGCTTCCAGTCCAGACGAGTGTCCTGCGTGCACAGGCAGAGCAACAAACCCGTGGCTGAGCAGTTCTGCAGAGGGAGGAAGAGACCGGTGACCTGGCAGCACTGCAATGTCACATCCTGTGGCAGTATGTAAATGTTTATTTAAATATGAGCATAGTAATAGGTTGTAGCAGTTATATTAGAAAATGACTCACAGTTGTACACTATTGAATCTACAAGCATTTGATTGTACATCAAAGGTAAAACTATCCTCTCCAAGGAGCACTTCGTAATCCTGGGGTTTCTTTTCTCTAAGTAGGCCAGTTTGATATTAAAGTCTCAAAAGCACTTTTAGAAACAGGATATTTAGGAAGTTTTTTGCAAACTTCCCTACATGACTGTGCCAGTTGTGACTCAAAAGTCTCTGAGCAAGCCGTTAATGTCTCCAAGATGGGGTTGTGTTCTGAACAAGACAATGAGTAAAGGAATGCAGTGAGATCACACCTCTTACTTGTGACCTTGTTTAGCTTTGAATCCTCTCCTGCCAGAAGTGCACACTAAAATAATTACAAAGCTATCAGGAACACATCAGTTGTTTACAATTGCAATGGCAAGCTCTGCTATTTCTCTTTTGCTCATTATAAAGCCTTGTAATGTTTAAATATATTTTTCAGAGGGCGAATGCAAGGATACAACTCACTACTGTACATTTGTAAAGCAACTAAAATTATGCTTGATAGACACCTACAAACAAAGATGTTGTCAATCATGCCAGGAAATGTAAGTCCTCTCTGGCAAGTTCATGATGCTGCAGTGAAGAGATGAGAAGAGTGGTTCATTAAACTAACCTGCCTGAAGTATATTCTTGTAAATGAGACATCAGTTGTAACAGTTAAATGGCAACGTGGGGCTAATGAAAACACAGTATTGTGGATTGATGTGCTGGATAAGGTGTTGTTTCTGGGAGCTTTCATTTTTCATTCTGTGCAATGGCACTTTTAATGCTTTAAACACGGATGGATTAGCAAGATAATATTATGGCATATCATCTGTAAAATTTTGCAGGCTATAATTTATAATTTTATCTGTGAAAAAACCATTACCTAAAAGCAACAAATACTGATTACTGTCCTTAACTTATGAGGGAGAGTCACAAAATACTTCAGAAACGTTTGGAAATGCAGCAAGTATTGATTCCCAGGATTTTGGTTTGGTTTTTTTTTTCATCGTATTTAACACCATTTTTAAATTTACAGAAGCTGTGGCTTGTAGCTGTAAAATTTTGGCAGCAGCTTCATTTTCACAAACAGCTTGAGCTTAAGGGTTGATCTCACAGGATATGCTTTACGGATACTAGCTCTCAGATGGATACACAGAAGTACATTGAATTTTTCCTGCTTGTATTTCTGTGTATGCAGTAAGAAGCTACAGATCCTAGCACAATTTTCAAAGCAGCAATAGATTTCTTTTGAATAAATGAGGTGTCATTTTTTATTGTTTCTATTCTAATTCCAGTCTCTGAAGTACAATCAAAGTTCTGGCATGGTTATACCTTTGTACTGTTATTAAATGAGACAGAAGCTTCCTTATCAGAGCTGTGAATAAATATTTGTGAGCACTGTTCTCTTGCACATCAAGTCAAATGAAGAGCCAGTAACTGGCCAAAATACCTGTCAGATTTCTTGTCTTGAATAATCATTCTATTTTTCTCCATTAATGGGGAAAAATGTCCAAGGAAGAATTATTAATTGTGAAGACAGACAAGTGGAAGGAATCTATTTTGAGGATTTTTCTACCAAGATGATTTTTCCATCATGAGCATTAACCATCTGAGTCGTTTGCAAGTTGATAAATTTTTACCAACATATTCCTGGGTAAATTATCTTCCATATTGCAGATTGTCTAACTAGGGCTTTCAACAAAGAGTACCCCACATAATGCAGAAAATAGGGGGTTTTTCCTTTTGTAGTTTCCAAGCTACTGCTGATATTGGAGGCCTGAATGCTCACTTTGACTTGCCTCTTGGGTTCCATCTCTGACCTGTGTGACGGGCAGAGGGCTGGGAGTGCTGTGGGGGCAGCTCAGACACAGCATCCTGCACAGAGGGTTTGCATCACTGAGAATTAGGGTAGCACTACTGTATAGAAAATGTTTAGGGTGGACTATCGTGTCCAAGGCTGACTGCAAGGAGAGGATATTCCTGATCATTACCTTTTTCATCAGCAATGGGTCTTGATTGTTTAAGCAGTTTTTTAAATTAAACATTTGTAAAATACTTTTGTAGATATTTATTGTCTGGTTTAAAAGTGCAATATTTTTTTTTTGTACAGTGTTTAATAAAGATTTTTGGACATATATTTTTTCTTATTACCAAAATTTCTTATTCATGTTTTCCCTTTATATTTAAAGTTTTGAAATGTTAACACATAGCATTTTTGTTGCGTTAACTTTGGTTAAGTATGCATGCTATACTGAAGCAGTGCTGTAAATGTTTGTGATTGCAATTGGCATGACATTCCTCTGTAGATTATTTTATTGCTTCTCCAGTACCTGAAGATTCTAGCTTCTTGAACGTAGTTTTGATTTTTCTGAAATAAAGTATAATTTGATTATTCACCACTGCGATTACCCTGAGATTGTTTATTACCATGATTTGCATGCTAATCATGCTTTCATTCTTTGTTATTTTTTCAACCTACTTTGTCCATAATTCTAAGATGTTTTCAAAGCCTCGGATTAGTTCTTATTTTTAATAGTCTGTCAGACATATTGTCAATTTTCACTGCAGTCTGCTTTGCACTGCTATTAAGATACAACACAGATGTAAGATGACTGAAAAAGTGGAAACATAATTTGCCAAGATCCAAATGTCAGCTTTGATTCACTGAAATCTAGAATCAGGATTCTTTAAAAGGTGGAATAAAATTGGATTTATTTTTCTGGGCCTTCACCAAGCAGAGTTAATTTAGATCTAATAGAACAGTTCCATGTTTTGTATTTAATGAGTGATGGGTATACCTCCATGAAAAACAAATTGTTTCAGAATATCCAATATGTGTAAATAGTCTCAGAAAGAATAGTCTAAGAAATAGTATGAACAACAAAAGCCTTAATTTTTTTTTTATTAAATACAAAAAAAATGTATAACAATTTAATGGTGGTGTTTCAGAGTTATCCTAGATAACAATATTGGCAAATGCTTAATTTTCCTTTTGAATTCCATTTGTGCATCTATTAAAAAAGCAAAGGCTCTGTACAGCAGTGCTGTGGAGCCTGCTGCTGGAGGGCAGAGTGCGCAGAAAGCACTCTCAGAATAGCAGCTGAATCCATTAATAACTTTCTGCTTTTACATCTTGGTTTAACATGACATCATAAAATGCTTTTTTAACAGCTGTTATTTTGGAAAAATATTAGTTTTCCAGCCGTCTCTTCACTTGGTCTGCATTTCAGTAATTTGTTGCTTATGAAAAGGTTGACGTCAGGTATTGAATAGTGTCTGAAGGTTTATAATATCATTTGATGCTTTTCCTGGAAGCACAATCAGTGTGTTGGGGCTTTTTCAATTGTGAAGTAATAAAGGCTTCTCTCTTTCACTGTTAAACTTAGGGGAAAACATTATGGACAAAATGAAAGGAAATATGCCCCTCCACCCTGAAAAAGCCTTCAAACACATCTGCAGAGGAACTGTTAAATGTATCTGAATATGCCCTCCACTTCCCTTGCTCTCAAATGTTTGTACCGTGCTGGTAGGTGGCAGCAAATGACTTTCCATAACTTAAGGGAGGGAAGTGACTTCAGAACTGAAAAAACAGCTGTGAAAATTTTAAAAAGCATCTGGGCTTCCTCACAGGCCCAGCAGAGGAGCCATTTTGAGCAGAATATGCAGGCACGTGTAACTTCATGGATTCAGACTGCATTTCTCCCTCCCTAGAGAGGAGAGCTGGAGGACATTGGGACCTCCAGAGGTACCAGGACTGTGTATAGCATGTGGACCTGAGCAGGTGTGACTGTGCAAAGTTTTGGCTTTGTTTCCTCAGTTGTGGCATGACAGAGAATGACTCAATAGAGTGTATTTCTTCTTTTGTGGTACAGAAAGATGACAATCAATTAGACTTCTTCCTGTCCTGCTTTTAGGATCTTGCAGATTTACATCGTCCTTGTTTATTCACATTTGAAGGGAGGTGAATAATTTTCAAACAGAAAAGTAAAACTGATATGCCATGTCATTAACAAAGTAAGTGATACTACAAAATCACAGTACAAAGACAAAAGTTCTGTTAAAGTGACTGATGCTCTAATAATGTCTGGATGCCTCCCATGCAATGCTTTTGTACAGAGCTGATTTGCTCAGTTCAGCTTTCTTGCTTTTATATGACCAATTTCCTGCTTTAAAAATGTTCCCATTGTTGATCTTAGCCCTTTAATAAGAGACTTTGTTTATGAAGTACAGCCACATGATTCTGCAGAACCCAAATACTGTTCTACACCAATGGGTACAAGATATGCAATACTGAGGAAAAAATCATACTGGAATAGTGTGGTAGAGCACGGCAATACAGTTAATTACAGAACTATTAATTGCGACTTGCTTAAATCATGAATGTAATAAAACTAAAATTGATTCATCTGGATTTTTCAAAAACAGCTAAAGATCTATAGATAAAATATTGAATGTTTCATACAGAAGCAATTTCATATAAAATTTCTGTAAAAAACTGGTGTCTGTGTATTTGGAACAAGCAATTCTTTGAAAAGCAGACAGACTGAAGCCAGGCTGCCTACAGATTGCTGCATCTCAGCTGGTATTTATTTTTACCTGAGTTTACTCTATTTTCTGTAAATCTATACAGTCTCATAATGAGATTTGATTGTATTTGCCCACTGGGTTTAAAGATGATTCAGACATGCACTCAGTCTGCCAGTGTGTCCAAGGTGCATCAGTTTTGTTTCCCTTGGAAGTAAGGCTGAAAGTGCATGATCAGGGAAATTAGGGAACAGAGTCTACTTTTGGTGGTTGAGTGTTTTCAACTACATGAACAGAAAAAGAGTGAGGTTACCACCTGTTAATTGCTACCAGAAATTACAGTGGGACCTTTGTACTCACTTCAGATCTGAAGAAGTTAAAGTAGTGATGACTACAGCTAAAACCAGGATTTTAGAAATGCCTAGGTGTCATGGCATGCTATCTTGTGATCTGGGCAGTAAAATACAAAGGAAAAAAATCTTACAGATTACTGAGATTATGACTGATTTCTTAGATTATTGTAAATAGCATTATTTTCTTACTGTGTAAAATATTTTATCAGCAAAAGACACTTGTTATTTCACAAATACAATAATTTGATTGTAGAAAATATCAAATAACTAAATATGTTATAAAGCTGCTTCAGATGGAGCATGATGAAATCTGGGGAGTCAAGGAAAATAGAATGCACAATCAGAAAAAGCACAGATGCCATGTAGGGAGTAGTGCTTCTTCAGCATTTGGCAAATCTTTATTAGTCTTGTAATAAACTTTGGTTTGGCTTTGGTTTTCTTCAAACTTCTAAAAGCAAAATTTGCAGTATTCAGCTTGCTTCCAGTGTTATTTAAAGAGAAAATGAACAAGTTGGTTTCCAGTTATTTAACTAAGGTGCTTGAAATATTGCATGTAAGCATTATGACACAGCAGGTACTTCCTCTGGAACAGGACTGCAGTCTGACCCGGATCGTTCTGGGGACACCTGGCGGTAGAATCTGTGACCCTGAGAATCTGTGTTTACATAGACATAGCCCAGAGCATCTGGATTAACTCCAGGGCAGACCTCTGGCTTCTTTGGTGTGTATTCAGTGCGATACAAAGTTTCATCTTTAAAAGGAACTCCGGTAGGTACAGTGGGTACGGGTTTGAAACTCTGAGGTGGATTGGCCTGATGTGGTATGTAATGGGACCTGAATGTAGTTAAACTAGCAAATTTTCCTGTGGGCTTTTGAATTTCTTCTTCTTTCTTAATAAGCCCTTGTGGACAAACTTTCCAGGGTTGATAGTCTTCTTTTGTAGTAGTCTTCCCTTGAAAAGGGCCAGTGCTTTTTCTTCCAGGAGCTGGTTTTATGGCGGCTCTAGGAGCAACCTTGTGTTTAATGTAATCCAGACGGTTTGAGGACTTGAGGTCCATCTTGTCTGTGGGTGGAACGTACTCGCTTGGTTTGTGCAACTCGGGCGCGGTGACCAAATACGGCTGATAGCGATCCTGGAATTCGGTGATTCCTTTAAAAGGATCATCAGATCCATGTTTCTTACTTTCAGGCTTGCAGCTTTTTGCTTGTTCCCCAGGCATCCCTTTAAAATCACTCTGGTGGGTTGTGAGATCTTCAAAGGGCTGGTCGCTTGGCTTGTACTCTTCCCTTGGCCTCACGAACAAGGGCTTCATCTCATGGACGACGTACGCCATGCGATGGATGGTGTTGCCATCAAAGGGCCCCTCTGGCAGCTTGCTGTCACAGGGTTTGCAGCTTAGGGGGGGATTGGGCTGCTTGGGGATGTAGTCATCTTGAAACGTGGAAGGATTTCCAAACCTCTCTGAAGGTGGCTCGTAGTCATGCTCCACCTTACAGGATTCCGTTCTTTGACTTTTCCATAACCTATAGTGATCTGTAAGGCAAAACCAAAATTCCACCACATAGGTGTTATTACTTAAAACCAGTCCTTTAAAATGAAGACAAAATCTTCTGGTATTAAATCTTGCAAAACAAACAAAAGGTATGTAAATTAAAATGAAATTTTATCTGCATGTTTGTGATCTGATGAAACTGTCTTCTATTATAGTGTGATTTATAGTGATAAAAACAGACCCCCAAAATCGCACTCGACACCCTGATTTGACTCTTTGCTCAACAGAAACGATACAGAAAATAGCCTTATACATGCCTTAAATACAATATCCTCCATTTTACATAAAATATTTTGCACCTTTGCACTGACCATTGTAATAGAATAATTTGTGTCAAGACAGATCATTACTAGGGTGATGTATATGTAAGCTATACATACACAAGCAGAAGCCTAAACTCCACTTTTGACCCGCTCTGTGGAAAAATAAGTGACATGAACTAAAACTACCTGAAAAATACACTGCACCCTAATTTCCATCCAGTTTTGCCTAAGATAGCCCAACACGGTGTATGTTGGAATTTTCTTGAAGCCAAGCAAACCTCAGAGAGGGCTTTTAGCTTAGAAGCAATAGGTCTCCCCTCAACAACTGGAGTGCTGAATGTTTTAGGGCACCATCACCTGCTTCGTAGTATGTTTTACTTCCAGTCCCAAACCAAAATATCCAGTTTCTAACACAGGTAATTCCGATGTTACCTTCATCTTGGTTATTTCTCTTTCTGTAGGGGGCACCTATTATTACCTCGGTAGGTTGGGACAGTATCCACTTTGGCATCTGAAGTGTGTTTCCTCTCTCGAGGCCTTGCTAATATCACTGGTCCTACTTTATGAGGATTGTAATCTCTCTGGTAAATGGTTCCCAGGTCAATCTTGCCTGACTTTGGTCTATATTCTGCTTGTGGCCGAAAAGGTCTCGTAACAATTTCATACGGTACATAATCAGACCTGAATTGGGGAAAAGAAAACACTGGTCAAAAAATCTTTTCTCCCTTCTGAAGCCACTTCTGTATTTTTTCCACTATTTGGAAAAATAACAAAATGTTTACTCTGAAAAATCTATCAGACACCATATGTTGGAGGGATAGCACAAAGGAGAGAAAACCACAGCACATAAATCTAGAATCTCTGATGAATTATAGTCTTTACTCAAAGGTAGATGGTTTTTTAACACTCCGAGTACCATTCACATGGTGCATTTTAACAATACTATTTAAAGTGTCTGAAAGGAGACTTGCAAAGTTGCTATAATTTTCCAAAGAAATTATCAGAAAGCAGAAGCAGAGCAAAGCTCAAATTACTACAAGTGGTAGCATTTACTGATTGTATGAGGAGAATGGAATATAATCAGAAACAGCATTTCACTGTTTTTGTATGGGCACATTACATTAAAAGGATGTGTATTACATATGTGGGTGTTTAAACAGACTGTACAAGCACATGAGCAGTCTGGTAGAATAGCATTTGACCTTTCTATTCTGTAAAGAATGCAAATCTTGTTGTATGCATGCTTTGCTAATTTTTACAACCTTTTGGTGGTAACTGTATTTCTATACTCAACATTTACACTTCAAATATGCAAAAAGTGCAAAGGACGCAATGCATTTTGAGAAGATTGCAATACAATATTAAGTCCCCACTTAAAGAATGAAAAACTTGACAGAATAATTATAAAACATGGTTTGAAAATATTTACTTGAATGTTGTGGTGCCGTCCATTCTCGGCCCATCTTCTTGGAGCTCTGGTTTTGGCTTAAAGCTCTCAGGAGGGCAGATGTTGCCATAGCCAGGATAGTTCTCCAAATACTCAGTTTTGTGGCTCGGCTTCACTCCATCATCATAAATCTTTGTGGGTCTGTGGCAGCAGCGGTGGCGTCTGGGTCAAACACATCAGAGCAGAGAATTTGGAATCGTTTCATTTAAGAGGAAAACCCATACTCTGTTTACTGGGAGTGAATAACAAATGGGCAAGATTGAACAATGTCAATAGTTTTTGTTTAAAATCTTTTCTGAGTGATAAAACCACAAAATATTGTGCTGATGGCACGGGTCCCAGAGCACATCATGCTAACACAGTAATAAAAGCACTATCAGCTGGCAGTCAGTCCTTGGTGCAGAATACAAAGCATGGACAGAGTTGATCTCACTTCTCTAAATGGTGCTACCACCAAGATGCACTTTCACCTTGTCTGTAATGGTTAATGATATTCCTGCTTTTATTTGGAAAAGTAACTAACCATGCTTCATTTCCTGTCTCATATCATCTCATTTTTACTGCTATTACTTCATTGCTTGTCCTTTTATTTCTGTACATCTCACCTATTTTCACCACTACTGATTAACACTTTTTGATTAAAATTTTATGGTGTGAAATCTCATGTGCACTTCTAGTGCTCTACGGGCCATTTATGACTTTTCAACTCTTTTTTTCCTCCACAGACTGACTAAATTCTCTACCCAAAACACATGTTTATTTGAAAGTAATGACATCTCTTTTTCTTAATAGGTTTTATTTCAATTCCTCCTGCTTCTTGTTGATGCTTCTATCAATGACACCATTGTGCAAAAAGGGAGGTATAATGGGAGGTATATAATGACAATTCCTTGTTTATGCCTTGTTGTTTTCAATTAATGATCCATAAAATTACAATTTAAATGTTATTGCTTTGAAAATCTTGTTTTATTAGTTCTAATTTGCACAATGCACATCTCTGGCTGACCTCAAGGAAACATAATGACAGGTTTTCCTCCTACTTATGGCTGACAACTTGCAATGCAAAGAGAAAAAAACAACACTTTTTTTCAAATGAACAAATATTGTAAAATTCTGTGATGAAAAGCTAATTATCTAAACCCCAAGAAGGGAAAAATTGCACAGCTCTTAGTAAATACAAATAAATTCAAGTTTCAGGAAGCTAGATATACAAAGAACATTTCAAAGGTCTGCAGAGAATTTTAGCTAGCACTAAATACCATAGAGGAAAATAATAAATTAAAGCAAGGTAAAACAGAATACAGAAACAGACATGAAGGACTCCTGCTGGGAAAATGAAAGAATGAAAATGAAAAAAAAACACTGAAAGAAATTCTTGCACATTTGAGATCCTAAAGCTGGTATTAGTTTGTGCTGCCTCATTTTGCCAGCTCAGTAGTTTAAAAAAATGAGAAAAGTAGCCCTGTCCTTTTAAATCTTCAGGTGTTTACTCCTTTTCAATCAAGTAAATTAACAATTGAGAGACCTTTTCAAAACATAGCAGGGAAAAGAAAAAGGAAGAAGAGGGAAAGAACAGGAAAGGTAGGAGAACAAAGAGGTAAGTGTGTGCTATTTCTCACTATAGTGTTAGCCTGTCATTGCATTTGTCATGAAATTCACTTTCACCTTGATAATGTTTTTTTCAGCAAGTACAAACAGCACATGCTGTGTGATGTAGCATCTAAAAGTAACAGCTAAGCAGAAACAAAAGACATTCAATGGATGGTTTGAAAGCTGGTTGAAATACAGGTTATCAGTTTATAATGTTCTTCATGGATTTTTGGCATACAATTCAAAGGAGTTGGAAGCAAACATTATTCATCTGCAAAAGCTTCACTTTGACAATCTTCAGTTTGCCATAAGCTGGTCTGGAAGACCAACCACCAAACAAAACACCTTCTGTGTTCTGGGGTCACCATTCTTTCAGGACTTAATTCTGAATATTTTTAAGCAATATTGTGAGTATATCCCATCTATTGCTGAAAGGACATGCTACAAACTGAAACAGATACTAGAAAAATAATTCCTGCAGAGTGGGCCTTTAGTTCTTGGTAAATACAAAACAGAGATGAACGCTATCTACTCTTATCTTTTCAAGGATAGAGATGGTTGTAATTTTATTAGAAATCATCGTTGATCGAAAAATGTCCTTTAAACCACTCATTTCTAGTGTATAAAATAATTCTGAATACTCTCTAACTGTGCACAAAAGTACTTGAAATCAGATGATATTGTGGAGGAAGTTCCTGCATCCTACTCTGCATTGTGAAAGGGCTTTCAGTCAGCCTGAAGATGTAAAATTACCTCGTGAATTTGACTTGGAGAAGAGATTGGGGGGTTTTTTTGTTAACTGATAAATCTGCTTTAGGATGTTGTCAAATTTAGAATGTTGTCCAATTGTTAAACCAAAATTTTTCATTTAGATAATAATTTTATATAATTAATTATATAAGGCATCACAAGGCAAAGAATCATCAGAGAATACAGATTACAGCTCTGATACATGAAATATGGTGCTTAGAGTTTGGCCTGCCCTCCTTGAGACATTGTTTATTTTTAACTTCTTCCTTGTATTTTATATGAATTTCCACCCCAAAGTTACTGATAATTCAAATTAATTTGGTGAGAATATCCCTTTTCCCATGCCTGACTGGCACTTGCTTGGATGGATTATTATTCTTTCCCTTCTTTGTGAGAGACTATCTTGTGTCTTGCATAAGGTTTGAACAGAATCTCATCCAAATAAAAGTGACAGTACATCAGCTCTACTGTGCCAAATGCTCTTGTTCTGGTTATTTTAATAGAATGCTGATGATTTTAACTTATTTAAGGCCTGGCATACATATTTTTTTATACAATGCTAGCAAGACCATTGAAATTCTACCACAAAGCATTTTCCTCCCAGAGAACTAGACTAACAATGAGAAAAACTTAATATTTGTCACAATAGAAAACTTACTACCCCTCCACAAACATCTCAAAGCTTTTATTTTTAATTTCTTTTTAATTTGGCCAGTGCACATAGTATGGTCTGGAAGCCAGAAATGATGGATGGACACTGTTTTTGAGAGTCATCTACTTTCCTGTTCTTGACAGGAGATCTGGTAGTTTTTACTGGGTTTGTATTTATATGTGATCACTATGATGGCTTAAGTAGCCCATATTTTAGAGAAATCTTTCTTTTTAACTTACATTTATTCAGGAATATAGATAACAAAAGGACAAGAAATGGGGGAAGGTTGACTGACTGAGAAGGAGATAAAGCAGTAGTATATTTTTGTGTCTCAAAACAACTTTTACGCTTTTGTAGGCTGTGATTATCTTTTATAGCAATCTAATACTCTTCTTGAGTGCAGAAAGTTCATCTACCACACAGGCTTTATTCTTTGGAAGCCAGATTTAACATTCTGTATTTAAGAAAGCAGAATGGAGTTGTCTTACTGGCTTTGCTCCCCTGTAAGTTTTTTCAGTGTTTTTAAAATTCTCTTGATAGGGGAGATTGTTTCCTTCTATTTTATTATTTAGAATTGAGCAGTAATTATACCTCCATACAATTTCCTGCAGATGATAATGCCTACAGAACATTAGATATTTATAGCTGCTTTGAAGTCCCTGCTAAGCTGTGTATGCATTCCAGTGTCCAGGTAACACTGCCAAGTGACCAAGCAGCCTTCCCCTGAAAACAGAAACTCTGGACACTGAAGCAAACACAAAGTGCTGCCTAAACCAATAATGGCTTAAGATTTTATTGACTCTAAAAACTTCAGTGAGGTTTATTTTAAACCACACGCTTTATGCATATTTAATTCAATTATTCATATTATTGAACTCAGGTTTTGGAATGAGAATTTTTGGTTGAGTTGAAGCTCATTTTGTGCTGTCTCATTGTGTTATCTCACCATCTTTGTACTTGGGCCCGAGCCAGGTTTGTTATCTCACCATGAAAACAATGTCTTCCAGCTTTTCATTAATCCCCAACTTAAGGAACAAATTTATGGGGCAAAATTCACCACAGGCTTGGCCAAAAAGAACATGAGGAGCTTTACTCAATGCCTGCCTCACACTTCTGTCTACACATGACAAAAAAAGTGGCTGATGAACAGACAGACAGACTTCCCACACAGAAACACATAGAGGGGGCCTGCTCTGCAGACCTTGATATGAAACTTGTGGGTCATGGTGCACTTTGCAACCATAGGATTTGCTCTATACCTCCATAAAACGTTGAGCACCTTTGTGATCTTATGATGAATGTTCTTGTATGTAGTTGTTAGATTTTTCTTTTTTAGTATGAAGTGAATTTTTGAATCCTAAGGTGATTATTTTTGTGAATTTTTTTAAAAAGTAGACAGAGAAGAAATTGAAAATTAACAGTTGTGACTCCTACCTGTAGATTCATATCTGAGTTTTGAAAGGTCCAAGTCCCTTATTATTTTGGGACACCTGATTTGCATGCTTTTCTTTCACCTATGGCATTGATAATATTGCTTATAGAACTGTAATAGTAATTTTCCATTAAAAATTGCCTACTGTACCCTCTTGTGCCAGCCTCCCTGGGTCAAAGAGGCTACAGGACAATGATGAACTGTTTGTCTGTCTATGGGATCATGGAATGTAAAGTGATGAGTGCTACTGGATGTGATGGCAGAAGGGCAGATAGATGAAATCTCTTTCAGGGGCTGCAGTGCTTGCACAGGTTTCTGATGAGGTTGCCAGAACTCTTCCGAAGGTTCTTTGGTGCAGTCCTTCAATAGGAGCTGGCTTTGGTTTCTGATTTAGTCTGGGTGGCTTTTAAAGACTGTCTCCATTCTGTTTTATTTTTGTCCATTTAAGACCTTCTTTTACCCTTACCTGATTTAAATGTAAATACACTACATCACATTTACTGGGAGTGTGCTCATACTTGGGTCCTACTCCCCAGGGGCCCGGGGTGGTGCTCATGTTATCACTGAGGTTGGAAAAGGCCTCTCAGATTATCAAGCCCAGCCTGTGACCAAACACCACCATGACAACCAGACCATGGCACTGAGTGCCACGTCCAGTCTCTCCTTAAACACCCCAAGGGACGTGGGCAGCCCATTCCAATGCCCAACCTGCCCTTCTGTAAAGGCAGAATTCTGTGAAGAATGTGAAGACATTCTTTCTAATGTCCAACCTAAAGCTCTTCTGGTGCAGCCTGAGGCTGTGTCCTCTTATCCCGTCACTGGTTGTCTGGGAGAAGAGGCTGAGCCCCACCTGGCTGTGATCTCCGGCAGGAGCCTCCTTTTCTCCAGGCTCAACACCCTGGCTCTGCCAGCTGCTCCTTGTAACTCTTGTGCTCCAGACCCTTCCCCAGCTCTGACGGAGCTTTTTCCCTTCTCTGGACACGCTCCAGCACTCAGTGACCATCCTGGATGAGAGGCCCAGACCTGGGCACGGCACTGGAGGTGCAGGGGATGGCGCTGCCCCGGCCCCGCTGCGGCAGGCCCGGTGCCAGCGGGCTCCTGGCACAGCTGCCTCACCTTCAGCTGCTGCTCACCAGCACCCGCTGCTGTCCTGCTGGGCACTGTCCCCCCTCTGCCCCAGCTGCAGAGCTCTGTGGGGCTGGTGTGACCCAAGGGCACACCCGGCCCTTGGCCCTGCTGACCCTGATACCACCGGCACCATTCCACGGGTCCGGCCGGTCCAGGTCCCTCTGCAGAGCCTTCCTACCCTGCCGCACACCGATACTGGCACCGGCTCGGTGTGGCGGCCGAGGGTGCCGAGGGAGGGCGGCGCTGGCTCGCTCGGTGCCCTCCCCACTCACCCGCAGGAGCAGATCTCGCAGATGCAGCGCGGCGGCCCCATGCCCGGCCCGCTCGGCCGCTCGGCCGGTAACCAGGGACGCCGCCGCGCGCGGCACCAGCGACACCCGGCCCGCCCCGGCCCGGCTTCCGTCTGGCGTCACGGGGCGGGCTCGGCAG